AGCGTTTTGTGACCATGAGGCTCTCAAGAGATACATGTTGGGGGGCCAAACGGCAATTCTAGCTGAGACGTCCCACCAAAATCGGCGCGAACGGGCTCGTGAGATCAGCCAGGGTGGCTCCCCCTTGGGGCTCCCAAATGATGCCCCTGGCAGCGTTTTGTGATCATGAGAGAGTGTGAGTGTGAGTGAATCTTATTACTCCATAGGCTGTCTTATCTTATCTATTATCCTACCTTGTCATATATCTTATCTTACCTTATCATATCTTGTGCTATCTTATCTTATCTTGTAGTATCTTATCTTGTCTTGTATTATCTGGTGATTATCATTGAAAGGAGGGAGGCGCGAGCGGGAGGAAGGAGGAGCAGTGGGAGGCGTCAGAGTAATAACAAGAACCCCAATCCTTAGGATATGGGGAATAATGAGAATAATCAGAAAATTGAGAAACGCCATAAACATACACGATTGGCGCTCCGTGCGGATTTCTTGGACCTGCGCTGACGCCAATGAGGGGGTCCAGCTCAGATCCAAACAATCCGCGCGGAAAGCCAACAGTTGATGTCTGTGCCCTTTTTTCTTCTTCTGAGGTTCGGCCTTCGCACGGCCCCGGGGCCGTCAGACAACGGCTCCAGATGGAATGCCAGTCCCCGGGAGAGGGTCGAGACTTGCAGTGGCCCACGTCGCGAAAAAGTCCTACCGTGGGGGATCTGGGGTTCCTCCTCGTCCTCCTCCTCCTCCTCGTCCTCCTCCTCCTCCTGATCCTCCTGCTCGTCCTTCTCCTCCTGTCCTCCTCCTCCTCCTCCTCCTCCTCCTCCTCCTCCTCCTCCTCCGCCTCCTCCTCCTCCTCCTCCTCCTCCTCCTCCATTGCACGGGGCTTGTGGCCCCATCCTAAGGGCATGCCCAAGAAAGTACAGGAGGCCTTGCACTGGCGGGATGCCAACAGAGCCATTGCTAGAGCTAATGCGCACGTGCATGCGTGAGTGTGTGCATAGCCACTAGCAGGCCACATAGTACGATTGCGCACTCCTCCTGCCGATCTCCTCCTCCTCCTCCTCCTCCTTCCTCCTGCTCCTCCTCCTCCTGCTCCTCCTCCTTCGCCTTCTCCTCCTCCTCCTCCTCCTCCTCCTTTTCCTCCTCCTCCTCCTTTCCTCCTCCTCCTTTTCCTCCTCCTCCTCCTCCTCCTCCTCCTCCTCCTCCTCCTCCTCCTCAGCCGCCGCCACGGCCCAGACACCCGCGAGCGGCCCATCCCCACCCACAGGGCGCTTCGACGGGAACGGGGCCGCTCAGGGCGACGCAGAGAAATCCCACTCAGCAGTCCGCTACCGAACCCCCGCCGAGTTTATGTCACTTTCTTGTTTCCTCTTACATTGCCTGCTGCGCCACACCCGCTTCAACGCCGAGGGACGCCGAGTGCAAGGCCGTGGAGGGCATCAACACGGGCCTGCCCATCGTCTACGACTCCAGCTGCCCCGGCCTGAGCTGCTTCGAGGACCAGCCGTGTTGCTTCGAGGACCAGCCGGGCAGGTACAACAACACGGGCTGCTACTCCGCAGCCTTGGCGCAGCTGAAGGCGAGGACGACGCCCACGAACGACGCCGGGTGCAAGGCCGCGAAGGGCATCAACACGGGCCTGCCCATCGTCTACGACTCCAGTTGCCTCGGCCTGTGCTGCTTCGAGGACCAGTCGTGCAGGTACAACAACACGGGCTGCTACTCCGCAGCCTTGGCGCAGCAGAAGGTGAGGACGACGCCCACGAGCGACGCCGAGTGCAAGGCCGTGAAGGGCATCAACACGGGCCTGCCCATCGTCTACGACTCCAGTTGCCTCGGCCTGTGCTGGTTCGAGGACCAGTCGTGCAGGTACAACAACACGGGTTGCTTTTCCGCAGCCTTGGTGCAGCAGAAGGTGAGGACGACGCCCACGAACGACGCCGCGTGCAAGACCGTGAAGGGCATCAACACGGGCCTGCCCATCCTCTACGACTCCAGTCGCCCCGGGTTGTGCTGCTTAGAGGACCAGCCGTGCAGGTACAACAACACGGGCTGCCACTGCGGGGAGAGTTGTTGTGTACTACGGGTGGCCAAGATTTGCTGCCACACTAGAAGCGTATGGTGAGTGAGTGAGTGAGTGAGTGAGTGAGTGAGTGAGTGAGTGCAGTGTGCCTGGTGCCAGCTCTGGCAGTGTCGATCTTGTGCTCTGCGATTTCAGTACAGGCGCGCAGCAGCATTAGATAGTGGGACTTGGGGGTGGTGGGGACGTTGGGAGCGGGGAGGAGGCGGTGGCGGGACGACTGCTACACTGGGACACCGCCTGAGTCAGGGGCGATTGGCCCGAAGGCCCTAAGCCCCTGCCGTATTCATAACAATTTTGTTTTCGGGAAGGCCCCGCGCTGCAGCGGGCCGAGAGGCTAAAAAGCCAAGGGTCCCGTAGGCGACCCGTCGATTCGCCGATCTGACGCGCCAGCAGCAATAGGTTCGTATACAGTCGAACCCCAAACAGCTGCCAAGGCTTCCGACTCCTCCTCCTCCTCCTCCTCCTCCTCCTCCTCCTCCTCCTCCCCCCCTCCTCCTCCTCCTCCTCCTCCTCCTCCTCCCTCCTCCTCTCCTCCTCCTCCTCCTCCTCCTCCCTCCTCCTCTCCTCCTCCTCCTCCTCCTCTCTCCTCTCCTCCTCCTCCTCCTCCCTCCTCCTCCTCCTCCCCTCCTCCTCCTCCTCCTCCCCTCCTCCTCCTCCCTCTCTCCTCTCTCCTCCTCCGCCTCCTCTCCTCCTCCTCCTCCTCCTCCTCCTCCCTCCTCCTCCTCCTCCTCCTCCTCCTCCTCCTCCTCCTCCTACTCCCTCCACCCTCCTCCACTCGGGCCGTCAGGAGAGCCCGAGCACCACCCGCAGCGGTCTTCACACGTGCCCTGCCGCGCCCACCCTTCCACCGCCAGGATCTGTCCGTGCCCACCGCTTCGGAGTCGGGTTGCTCCGTGGTTTCGAGGAGGAGGAGGAGGAGGAGGAGGAGGAGGAGGAGGAGGGAAAAGGGGGGGGGGAGGAGGAGGAGGAGGAGGAGGAGGAGGAGGAGGAGGAGGAGGAGGAGGAGGGAGGAGGAGGAGGAGGAGAGGAGTTTGGGATGTGGATCTCCGTGGGGTTCCGCCCCTATCTGCCCGCCTGCGGGGCTCCAGGGATGTGCGAAGATGTGTTTTCTCTCCCCTCTGCTCCTCCTCCTCTTCCTCCTCCTCCTCTTCCTGCTGCTCCTCCTTCTGCTCGTCAATTGTGTGGCACGGGCAGGCGCCGCCACTGCAGTACACCTCTCTTGTTCGCACACAGGCGGCTCACGGCTTCACCCTGCTCGCGCGCCGTCCAGACGCAGAGCTCCTGAGTTCTGTTGCGGAGGCGAGCAGATCTGGTTGATCTCCGTATCCACCACTCCCACTGGGCGACGAAACCTATACATATCCACTGCTCCCTGGCCAGGCCCATCCTCAACCCAGGAGCTGTGTATACTGTATGCTCCTTCCTGGCCCAGCCAGGAGGGCGTGGAGATGCACAGCTCCTGGGTCCAGGATGGGCCTGGCCAGGGAGCAGTCAGCGGATATGCATCGATTTCGTAGCCCAATCCCCGACCCCCCCCTGGACGCGACCCCGCGGTCGTGGATAGGGCGCGCCACCTGCACCGGCGCCTCCCGCGGGCCAGCTTGGCCCCACGCCGTGCCTTCGCGGCACCCTCGGCTCAGCGCAGGGGTCCGCGGAGCTGCTGGAAGCTGCTCGCTGGCTTCGCCAGAAGGCACACCCAGCAGACATCTCAAGAGAAATCCGCATTCTTCCTGGGCCCCAGGCTTCACATCAGAGCATCAAGAGTCTGGGCTGGACTCAGAGGGGGGATGCATCGGCCCCCCCCCGATCTGGTGCCCGACAGCCCACCCCGCCCAGGAGCGCTGGGTTTCACCATGGGGGGCCAGTCGCCGATGTGTTGGCGATGTGTCGCCGATGCCAGCTCGACTGAGCTCGTGCCCCCCCTCCCCCCAGCGCTGCCCCTCGGCGGCGCTGGGGAACGCCGCCCCCTGACAAGGCAGGGGACGGCCTGCCAGGGGGTGGGGGGGGGGCCCTCCCAAGAGCCCGCCTGGCCTCTGGGCGAGGCTTTCTTCAGAAGCCCCCTGGGCCCTCCACAATCGACGCCACATGGTGGGAGTCGGCCCAGAACCTACCATGGGAAAAAGTCAAGGAGAAGATTCTCGGAACACCTCCTTCGCTTCGCTCAGTCCGACAACTACTTCGCGTGGGCTTTCTGGTCGGATGTTGCCATAAGCGCCCCCTGGTCCAGGGTGACCCCAGGATTTCGAGGCCACCGAAGCCTCCACAGCACCCCGCACGAGGCTCAGAGGGCCCCAGGTGCTTTCAAATGGAGCGAAAATCTGGGGGCACTTTGGGGGCACCTTTTAGCAACCCCCGATCTGGCGCTCCGGCGCCCAAGCATGTTTCTGAGGGGGCCTTCGCCTTCTGAGAAGCCCCCCGCCTCCCTAGGAGCTTCGAACAACAAACAATGACAGAAAAGATACTTATCTTGCTGGAAGACCAAACCGTATGCAGTTGTGAGTACCGCCGTTGTGAGAACCGCCTTCGGTGGAGCTCCATGCAGGGCCACGAAACGTGTGAAAGGTGCGGCGAAATGGGGCGGGGCTGCCATGCGGGTGCTGCCGCTGGGGCCGCCCGCAGGGGGGGCGGAGGTCAGATGAAACGGGTTACATGCTGATGTAGCCCGTTGCGGCTGACGTGCGAGGGGTGTGGCAAAGTGAGGGGGGTGGCGGCATGCGATCGCAGCCACTGGGGCCTTCGGCAGAGCTCCCTCATGGGGCCACGAAGCGTGTGAGGCGTGTGCCAAAGTGAGGGGGGGGGCGGCATGCTAGCGCAGCCACTGGGGCCTTAGGCGGAGCTCCCTACGGAGCCACGAACCGTGTGAGGGGTGTGCCAAAGTGAGGGGGGTGGCGGCATACGAACGCATCCACTGGGGCCTTCGGTGGAGCTCCCTAATTATGGGGACGCGAACCGTGTGAAGGGGTGTGCCAAATTCGGATGGCAGAGGCAAGGATGGGAGGAGCGGGAGGAGAAGGAGAGGAGAGGAGAGGGGGGACGCGGGGACTGTCTCTCCAAATCGAGGACCCAACTTCGAGGTCTGTGAGGATTTCTCGGTGTGGCGCCGGAGGCGTCGCCAAGGGACCCCAGCGCACATCCGAGGAATCCGCGCGGACCATTGCATTTTTATGTTTATGTCATTTTGCCCGACCCACCCTCAGCGCCACTTCCTTGTGCGCGCCGCCAGCGAGGCCAACGGCGACTGCGCCAGCAGCGGCTGGCGGAGTGCAGCGCTTGCCGGCTCCCGTGCGGTCAAACCCGTGGCCGTGGCGCGGTACCTCACAGAGGCTGCCCTCGCGTCCTTTACTTCTTCTGCCCGTACTTGTCAGAACTTGCTGGTCGCGCGCCACTGGTTTCGTTTCAGTGTGGGGTTCCGAGGGTCCACCCACTAGAAGTCTTAAGATAAACTTCGACATATCACGAACTCCAGATTTCGTTTAAGAGAATTCTTCACGCTTCGCGTATCCCCACCAGCCCATCTCAAAACAGCCACTCTTGCGAAGCATGCCGACAGTCGTGTTTTTCAGGCGTGTTTCCGCCTGCCCCCGCATATCTCCCCTGTTCCTCCTTCCTCCCGCCTCCTTGTACATCCTCCTTGTGGTGGGAGCGGGAGAAGGACGAGGCGGAGGAGGAGGGAGAGAAAGCGCTCCTCGTGGTTTGAGTCGTTCGGGGTTTCTCGTCCTGGTGTGAGTCGTTCGGGCCCTTCTTCCTGGTGTGAGTCGTTCGGGCTCTTCGTGGTGTGAGTCGTTCGGGCTCTTCGTCCTGGTGTGAGTCGTTCGGGCTTCTCGTGGTGTGAGTTGTTCGGGTCCCTCGTCCTGGTGTGAGTCGTTCGGGCCCCTCCTCCTGGTGTGAGTCGTTCGGGCTCCTCGTGGTGTGAGTCGTTCGGGGCCCTCGAAGTCGACGTAGTAGTAGATGAGTAGTCGAGTAGGTAGTAGTGTAGTAGTGTAGTAGTATAGTAGTCGTAGTAGTAGTAGTAGTAAGTAGTAGTAGTAGTAGGTAGTATATAGGTAGGCAGTAGTAGTAGCAGTAGTAGTAGTAGTAAGTAGTAGTAGTAGTAGTAGTAGTAGTGGTAGTAGTAGTAGTAGTAGTAGTAGTAGTCGTAGTAGTAGTAGTAGTAGTAAGTAGTAGTAGTAGTAGTTAGTAGTAGTAGTTAGTAGTAGTAGTAGTAGTAGTAGTAGTAGTAGTAGTAGTAGTCAGTAGTAGTAGTAGTAGTAGTAGTAGTAGTAGTAGTAGTAGTAGTAGTAGTAGTAGTAGTAGTAGTAGTAGTAGTAGTAGTAGTCGTAGTAGTAGTAGTAGTAGTAGTAGTAGTAGTAGTAGTAGTAGTAGTAGTAGTAGTAGTAGTAGTAGTAGTAGTAGTAGTAGTAGTAGTAGTAGTAGTAGTAGTCGTAGTCGTAGTCGTAGTCGTAGTCGTAGTCGTAGTAGTAGTAGTAGTAGTAGTAGTAGTAGTAGTAGTAGTAGTAGTAGTAGTAGTAGTAGTAGTAGTAGTAGTAGTAGTAGTAGTAGTAGTAGTAGTAGTAGATGTCTTTTGGGAGCCTCTTGGAGGCCTTTTGGGCGTCTTGGGGGCCTCTTGGCGGCCCCAGGGGCTTCTAGGAGCGTCTTGGGTGCCTTGGGGGAGCCTCTTCGGGCCTCTTGGGAGCCTCTTGGAGGCCGTTTGGGGCGTCTTGGGGGCCTCTTGGCGGCCTCCAGGGGCTTCCAGGAGCGTCTTGGGTGCCTCGGGGGAGCCTCTTGGGGGCCTCTTGGGGGCATCTTGGGGGCCTCTTGGAGGCCTCTTGGGGCCTCTTGGGGCTCTTTGGGAGGGGTCTGGGAGGAATCTTGGGGCCATCTGTCGGGCGATCGATCACAGATGGGGGGAGCACTTTTCTCCCTCCCCCCGTCGGGGCGAGAATCCTCGTGAGGGGTGTCGAATTTTAGCCCTCCCAGGAGTCGAAAAAGACCCCTCTGACCACCCGCGAAAGGACCTCTCCAGGCCCAGGGGGAGGGGGTAGGGGGAGGGGTAAGTAAGCCCCTCCCCGAAGGGGAAGAAGGGGGGTTGAGAACAGAGAAAGCTCGCTAAACCACTCACGCCCAAAGGGCTGGTGGGATTTCTCCAACGGTAGGATCAGACCCCACATGATAATCTATTTAGAGTCCTCCTCGCTCTTTTCTCTTCGCCATGGCGGAGGCCCTCCTCCTCGTACTCCTACTTCTCCTCCTCCTCCCGCCCTCTGTTGCGCATCTTCCTCCTCCTCCTCCTCCTCCGCCTTCGCCTTCTCCTCGTCCTCCGTTCCATCCTTCTTCTCGTCCTCCTCGGTCCATATATTATTATTATCCTCATCCTCCTCCTCCTCCTCCTCCTTTTTGCCTCCTCCTCTTCTACCTTTTCCTCCTTCTCCCTCTCCTCGTCTCCATCCCGCCTGTTCTCCTCATGTACCTCTTCTTCTTTCTGGCCGGGACACGCATGTCCATTTCCCTCTGCACCCTCGCCGCCACGCCCAAAAGGGGCGCGTCGGTGGCCAGATCGCGAAGCCGTTGGGGCAACCCTGCGGGCCAGGCCTTTGGGACAACCCCGCGAGCCGCCGGTGCGCGGGAGGCAGCCAGCCGTTGGGACAATCTCGCAGGTCTCGAGCTAATCGCGGCCGCGCTGAGGCGGGAGAAAGCGCGAAACCCAGCTCTGTCGCGAGCTGCTCCCCCTCAGCCCTGGGGCTCACCGCTGTCTTGTCGAGCTCCCCGAGCGAATTCCGCAGGGGCGATGGCGGCTCGCGCTCCAGGACTTTTCGCGTGGGCGGCCGCAGGATCAGCATGTTCCGCATGAACGCGGCGCGGGGGAATACATGACGTAACAGTGCAGCCACCATTGCTCGCCCGACATGCCCGTGCGACCAGCGTCCTCATCACTGGCGCATTCGGTGGTGACGCCTTTGCACATCGTCTGGCCCTGCGACAGCGTGGAGGTCAGATGGGACGCGTGCCGCTCGTCAGGGTGAACCCGAAACGGCGCACGACGTGCGGCCCTGAGCTTTGCCAGGTGAACTCAAGCTCGCTGGGCCTGAACGTGAACGGGGTCCTCGCCCGCGCCTCGGCCTCGCCGCCGTCGTCAGCGCCTTCGGCGCCCTGTAGCAGCAGCTCGGCGACCTTCTGGTCGATCAGGGATTTCTGGGAGCCGCGCAGCTGCATCCAGATTCATTGGTTGGCGCCGCACCGCCGACCCTCTGGGGCGGCAGTGAAAGTGAAACGCGGATGGTAATCTTGGGGTTTTAGCTTCTTCGGATTTCGTCGGGGGCGGTTGGCGGATCGCGGGTCTTCTCTGGGGTTTCTGGCAACATTTTTGAGACCTCTTGGGGGCCGCGTTGAGGCCCCCAGGGGTTTGGGGGGGGCCACTTGGGGGCCTCTTGGCGCCTTTTCGATTTTTGTTCGGGGCCGGCTGCTCGAAATGTCCATCCAGGTTCTCCCTTCTGGGCCTCCTTTTGGGGCCGTCCTGGGGCCCTCCTGGGCCGTTTTGGAGGCTTCGGGGCCGTTGTTGGACCCTTTTGGGCCGTTTTGGAACCCTGTTGGTGGCCTTTTGGGTTATCTGGGGTCGATATTGAAGGGTTTTTGGGCCGTTGTGGGCGTCGCGAAAACCCCAAAAGCGAATGTGCTAGACATATACGTCTTGCCCTGGGGAATGGGACGGTTTTTGCTTGTGGAGGGCCTCTTGGGACGCCTCTTGGTGGTTTTTTGGTGCGTCTTGGGGGCCTCTTGGAGCGATCTTTCGGTGAGCCGTAGCCCTCCTGGACCGTCCTTGGGGCTTTGGGGCCCTCTTGGCGCGTTTTAGGGCCCCTTGAGGCTTCTTCCGAACCAGCCGGGCCGGGCTCCCAGAGGAGGGGTTTGGGGAGGAGGAAGCATCTCACACGCCGTGACCCAAAGGGTCGGCGGATTCTCTGCAGTAGGTTGCGGGGGCGAAAGAACTGGCTTGGCGCGTATTCCCGCATGTCGTGTAGGCGAAACTGGAAGGTGCTCCTACACGAGCCCCAATGTATTTTTCAGCTGCTCCAGCACGGCCGTAAACCGAATCGCCACGCCGACGTGTGTTGGTAAAACAACACGGATGTCCCCCGCCTTGTGCATGCTTGGGACGTTCAGGAGGCGTCAGCCCGCGTCTGGATCGCCTTGAATCGCGGTGCCCTCGTCTACGGTTTGCGAGAAAACGAGGGGCATGCCGAGACGCCGCGTCTCGCGACGAGCGCGCTCGCTGGCGTCTCCCAATATACGCCCATGCCGTCACCGAGGGTCAAGTTCCCGTGTTGGTGTCGCGGGTCTCAGGCGCCGTGGTTGTCCGATGCCAGCGTTCCCAGGCAGACCAGACCTCTGGTCGGAAAGGTTTGCCCTCGCGCGTGCAGGCCAAAAGCGCGATCAGAGGGTCCCCAGGCTCGAAGCGGTTCGTGGCCTGGGGGATGCCAGCTCGAGGTCCCAGTTCTCAGAAGATGGACGCCCTGGTCCGAGCGCGAGCGCGAGCGCGAGCGCGCCGGAGCCTGTGCAGAAAACCCAGAGGAACCCCAAGGTGACGACAGTTACCCGCTTGACACTTCCTCGCGATTTAGATGAGGCTTCCGCTCGAAACTTTCTCCATATCCCGGCCAGGAAAGTCCCAAAGTGACGACAGTCATGTGGTTGCGATATCCCGGCTCGGATTCGAACATGAAGCGCGGGCCCTATAGTGAGGGCGTCCCGCTGAGACTTCCGCGCGATTCATTCACTGACGAGGAACCCCAAAGTGACGACGGTTACAGTGTTCCGATTACCGCTTCGGATTCGAACATGAAGTGCGAGCACTATCAGGAGTGGGGTCCCGCTTGAGATCTCTTCGCGATTCACTCACGCACGAGGCTCCCGTTCGAGACCTCGTCCATACTCAGGCCAAAGGAGCCGAAGATTGACGAATCTTACCGGGCTCCGATGGCTCGCCCCGGATTCGAACATGGAGTGCGAGCCCCGTAAGGAGGGGGGTCCCGTTTGAGACCCCTTCGCGATTCACTCACAGACGAGGTTCCCGCTCGAGTCTTCCTTAAGATGAGTCTATGTGTGGGCGATAGCGATGATGATTATGATGATGATGTTGATGATGGTGATGGTGATGATGATGATGGTGATGATGCTAATGATGACGAGGTGACCATGAGGATAATGATAGTGATGGTGGTGGTGATGACGATGAAGAATATGTTCATGTGAGAGTTGTTGTGATGATGATTGCAATGGAGTGGCAATAATGATGATGGGGAAAAAGATGATGGTGATGATGATGACGATGCTGCTGATGATGATGATGAATTTGATGATGATGATGATGATGATGACGATGGTGACGATGCAGAAGATGATGAAGATGATGACGACGTTGATGATGGTGATGTTGGTCATGATGATGATGGTGTCATGATGACGAAGATGGTGACGTTGATTTTGATGGTGATTGTGATGGTGATGGTGATGATGTTGATAATAAAAATGATGATTCTTGTGACGGGGATGATGAGGATGATGCTCGTGATGGTGATGATGCTGCTGATGATGATAATGCTGATGCTGATTGTTATGATGACGATGATGGTGATGACGATGATGATGCTGACGATTATGCTGCTCATGATGATGATGCTGATGCTGATGATGATAATGATGGTCATGATGAACATGATGATCATGACGATGATGAGGAGGAAGAAGAGGAGGAGGTGGGGGAGGGGGAGGAGGAGAAAGAGAGGGGGTGGGATCTCCTGCGCACGGGGGTGTCAAGAGAAAACAAGGAACCCCGCTTTGGATGTGAAGAACTCGGGAGCTGGACTTCACCCTTGGCGTGCTCCTATAGCTCTTTGTTTTCGTAAACTGTTCGCATCTCTGGACTTGGGATATTGCTTGAGAAGACGCTCGGGACGAATTCGCTTCTCAGCCCAACAAATCCTTTACTCTTGAGCACGGGTGTCCAGAGCTGCGGGGCGGGAGCCCTGTGTCGCAGTCTTGCCGCCCTCCTCCCACCCGAGAGGACGTCGTGAAGAGGAAGATAGCGAACGGCATCGGGCGTGGCGTCGCGCTCCCAGCGGCTGCCAAAATGTGATGCGCGGGAGGAGGGGGAGGAGGAGAGGGAGGAGGAGAGGGAGGAGGAGGGGGAGGATCAGGAGGAAGAGGAGAGGGAGGAGGAGGAGGAGGAGGAGGAGGAGGAGGAGGAGGAGGAGGCTATAGGATTAGGGGGAGGAGGAATGTGCAATGGTGCCGATATTGCCTTGGACGAGGAGCACGATTGGGAAGATGAAACCAGGCTGGGCAGCGTATTGGAAAGGCAGCGTGGATCGCGACTCAGATTGTGCATAGACGGAGCGCTCCGCGGGCAGACATCGACAGCAGCAAGAATTGCAATGTATGCGTGCACGTCTTTGTCGGAACGTGTATTTCTTCGAAGAGCCAGTCGTTATCTTGGACCTACACAGAGCTTTCTCCGAAACGGAGTTCAGCGCTCTGGAATGGGGGTTTGGAGAAGCGATCGCTCGGGTAGTGTAGCGCAGATGGCGGGAAGTGCAGGGTAGCATAGCGCAGAGCAGTGGATGATTGACTACACCTTTGTCCAACATAAGAAGAAGACGAATACTAATGATATACGAATAATAATGAGAAGAAGAAGAAGAAACATACTAAGAACAATGAGCAGAGGAGGAGGAGGAGGAGGAAGTGGAGGAGGAGGGGTAGGAGGAGGAGGAGGAGGAGGAGGGAGAAGGAGGAGGAGGAGGAAGAAGAGGAGGGGGAGGAGGAGGAGGAGCAGGAGGAGGAGGAGGAGGACCAGTGCAAACACAAGAGTCATCAACGATGTTGAAAGAAACCCTCCCTCCAAGCTCCCTCCCTTTAGCCCCTACAACGGTCATTTTCACTGAGTGAACTGTTTCTTTGGAAGACAATCGTTTGAAGATCCTGAAGCGTACCAACACAGTGTTCTCGGGATTCCAACGCCACGGATCAACCGGACTGTCGCGTCTTGACGATCCTGAGTCGTCCCAGTCATTCGTGGGACTTCAACACTGCGAATCAACGTAACTGGTGCGCCCTCATAATCCGGAATCGTTCGGAAAAAGTAAAAACATTGGGGCGCGTTGATCAGGGGAATCCGTGAAATTCTTGCAATTTTTGGAAGCGAATATGCGCGCCGCTAAGGAGAGAGCCGGATTAAAAAATTATCCTGGCGAAGGACCCAACCATATGCAATTGTGAATACTGCAATTGTGAATATCTTCTCGGTGGAGCCCCCTACGGGGCCACGAAACGTACGAGGGGTGTGCCGAAATGGGTGTGCGGGACGCATGCGGGCACACCCACTGGGGCCTTCGGTGGAGCTCCCTATGGGGCCACGAAACGTGTGAGGGGTGTGCCGAAATGGGTGTGCGGGACGCATGCGGGCGCGGGCACTGGGGCCTTCGGCGGAGCTCCCTATGGGGCCACGAAACGTGTGAGGGGTGTGCCGAAATGGGTGTGGCTGACGCATGCGGGCGCGGGCACTGGGGCCTTCGGTGGAGCTCCCTATGGAGCCACGAAACGTGTGAGGGGTGTGCCGAAATGGGTGTGGCTGACGCATGCGGGCGCGGGCACTGGGGCCTTCGGTGGAGCTCCCTATGGAGCCACGAAACGTGTGAGGGGTGTGCCGAAATGGGTGTGGCTGACGCATGCGGGCGCGGGCACTGGGGCCTTCGGTGGAGCTCCCTATGGAGCCACGAACGCGTGAGGGGTGTGCCGAAATGGGTGTGGGTGACGCATGCGGGCGCGGGCACTGGGGCCTTCGGTGGAGCTCCCTATGGGGCCACGAAACGTGTGAGGGGTGTGCCGAAATGGGTGTGGGTGACGCATGCGGGCGGCAGCACTGGGGCCTTCGGCGGAGCTTCTACTATGGGGCCACGAAACGTGTGAGGGGTGTGCCGAATTGTGTGTGGGTGACGCATGCCGGCGGCAGCACTGGGGCCTTCGGCGGAGCTCCTATGGGGCCACGAAACGTGTGAGGGGTGTGCCGAATTGGATGTGGGTGACGCATGCGGGCGGCAGCACTGGGGCCTTCGGTGGAGTTCCCTATGGAGCCACGAAACGTGTGAGGGGTGTGCCGAAATGGGTGTGGGTGACGCATGCGGCGCGGGCACTGGGGCCTTCGGTGGAGCTCCCTATGGAGCCACGAAACGTGTGAGGGGTGTGCCGAAATGGGTGTGGGTGACGCATGCGGGCGCGGGCACTGGGGCCTTCGGTGGAGCTCCCTATGGAGCCACGAAACGTGTGAGGGGTGTGCCGAAATGGGTGTGGGTGACGCATGCGGGCGCGGGCACTGGGGCCTTCGGTGGAGCTCCCTATGGAGCCACGAAACGTGTGAGGGGTGTGCCGAATTGGGTGTGGGTGACGCATGCGGGCGCGGGCACTGGGGCCTTCGGTGGAGCTCCCTATGGAGCCACGAAACGTGTGAGGGGTGTGCCGAATTGGGTGTGCGTGACGCATGCGGGCGCGGGTATTCGGGCCTTCGGTGGAGCTCCTATGGGGCTACGAAACGCTGTACTGGGTGGGTGAAACGCAGGGAAGAGGGGGGGGATGATGATGATGATGATGATGATGATGATGATGATGATGATGATGATGATGATGATGATGATGATGATGATGATGATGATGGTGATGATGATGATGATGGCAGGAGGGAGGGGGCAGCGGGAGGAGGAGGAGGGAACGCGGGGCACCGTCTCTTCAAAACGAGGACCCAACACCACAGGATGGTTGGGAAAAGCATTCCCTCAATCCGTGAAGCTCTTGCATTTTTGTTAAACGAAGGTGCGCGGCGCTAATGCGAGAGCCACATTTTGAATACGATCCGCCCTCAATCCCGGAAGCTCTTGCAATTTTTGAACACGGATGTGCGCGGCGGTAAGGCGAGAGCCACATTTTGCAAGCGCCCGCCCTCAATCCGTGAAGCTCTTGAATATACTGAAAAAGAATGCGCGCGGCCTTAAGCGAGAGCCACATTTTGAAAACGACCCGTCCTCTCTCTCTCTCTCTATATATATATATATATATCATACACGTTTTGAAAACGAATGCGCGCGGCGCTAAGGCGAGCGCCACATTCTGAAAACGACCCGCCCTCAATCCGTGAAACAGTCCCCAGCACTCGGGCATCGTACGTTCAGACAGGCCCAGGAACAGGATATGTCGCTCCAGAGCGTTCCAGAACGCTCTCAGAGCATTCCGAAACGCTCTCGGCTGGCCGCGGCGCCCGATACATTCCCCAGAACTGGCAGACCTGAGAGGTTTCTGAGATCTCCGATGTTGTCCCAGTATTGGCTTCCTTGAGATCCGACGTCGCGAATAAGTTGCAACACGGAGAAAAAAACACAGCCAGAGCCCTTTCTTTCTGCGCCACGTTTCGAGCCGCATCGATCTGCGGAGGTCCGGGTGCCCGAAGCAGGGCGAAATCGCCCGGCTCGAAAGAAAGGCTACGCCATCGGGGGCCGATTTTTGGCCACTGCCCCCCCCACGCGCGTATCTTGTGCTGGACCAGCTTGCCAGTAGGGGTGGTGAGCAAAAATCGTGACCCCAAGGGATGCATTTTTTTTACGCGGTCCCCGTTCCACGGTTTTTTGCCGAACCAGCTTGTTCGTGGGGGTGGTGTGCACAACTCAGGAGCGACAGAGGGGCGTACACGTGCTCGAATCCACGCTGCTTCCGAGTTTGCGCGTTGCGCGAGCGGTCGTACCACGCGGCCGGTCTCGCGGACTGGGGGGGGGCGTGCTCGTGTACGTGGGTGGGCGCGCGCGCGTCCTCCGTGGGCTCCCCCGACAAGCATCTTGCCCCCACGCCAGGACTTCGGAGTTCGCCTCGTCCCCAGACCTCCTCCACTTCGTGCAGCCCTCCGTGGCAGCGCCTCCGTGGGGCGCCCGAGAGCGCCAGGGCCCGCCCTTCCCTGGCCCTGAGCCCCTCTGCCTCGGCCTCCCTGCGCTCCCTCCCCGGACCTCGCTCTCTCCGCGCCCTCTTCGGCCACGGTCGGACCGAGACATGCGCTCGAGGTCGGTTCGGGGAGGGCACCCGGATGCGCTCCGTGCCTGCGAGAGGCTCTTCTGCATCCTGGGGAGGGTACCCTTGGGATGCTCCGCGTGTTTTGGCCGGCGGAGTTTCTCATGTTCTTGACGGATGTTTTTCTGTCCTAGGTCCAGTTGTACCCGCCGACCGTTGAAAGTAGGTCTTTCCGGATTCCCAGAACCAAATCTACTTCAAGCGCCTCCCTACTTCAATAACCGATATGTCTTGGCTGCTGCTTGTTATTCTCTGGGTTGGCCTGAACCCAATCTACGTTATCCGCCGTCCTGCTTCATGTTTCTACCTACTTCTTCCGACTGGCGTGTACGCGTAGGAGCGACCTCTCGCCGGAGTGACCCTTGGTGCGGGCACACCGGGGCCCCCAGATGGCCGAGCGCGATGCGATGGCAGCGGCCCGCGCGCGCGGGCTGGGCCTTCCTTTCCTCGCTCTCTCCGCGCCATCTGCCAGCATCCCTGTCTCTTGTAGGAGAAAGCTGGTACAGTCAAGACTCTGAACCGAGAAATCATGATGGGTCGTAAGGCGCTTGATGTTCCTTGGGTCCTTCCGTGGCTGTTTCTCGAGCCCTTCTCGTGCACGCAGGCGCTTTGGGGGCCCAGAAAGAAGCGTCTTTCCTGATTCACCGTTCCTTTTTCAGCAGCCCGGCTGTACCGCCGCCCTTCCCTCGTTTCCCCCCTTTCTGGGCCTCCCGGGAGGTCCTTGTCGCCGCGGTTGGATTCGCCTCGAACCCCTTCGGCAGAACGCACCCTGGGAGAGGCCCAGGAAGCCGCAGTATCGGCACCTCTTGGCTTCCCCAGCCTCTCCTCTCTCCGCACCTTGCTGCTTTCCGCGCTCCGTCGACGCACCAGCCTCTTCTGCTGGCGCTCCTCCCACTGCCTCTCCTCTCGCCGCTCAGAGCGCAGGCGTTCCGCCTCCGCCTCTGCACGGCGTGCCTCTCTCCACCCTTGGAGGAGGAGGAGGAGGAGGAGGAGGAGGAGGAG